AGAAGAAGAAGAAGAAGAAGAAGAAGAAGAAGAAGAAGAAGAAGAAGAAGAAGAAGAAGAAGAAGAAGAAGAAGAAGAAGAAGAAGAAGAAGAAGAAGAATGGCCATTATCTGGCCATTATGGATGAAACATGTAACAGTGATACCCATTGGGAACTATGTCCAAAAACTTTGCAAAATATTTCAAGAAACTGCAGCTTCCTGCCATAACTCCAGCAATGCTACAAAAAACTGCGCTACTCGGAACATCTTACATTTTAAGGAGATACCTGGTTGATACCTAGGATGCTGGCAGATACAAATACAACCCATGCCAACCATCAGCGCCAGTCAATTTGAATGTTCAGTTGACTGAGGATGATGCTTAATGAATAATAATAATAATAATAATAATAATAATAATAATAATAATAATAATAATAATAATAATAATAAAAAAAAGTTGGAAGGGACCTTGGAGGTTATCTACTACTACTACTACTACTACTACTACTACTACTACTACTACTAATAATAATAATAATAATAATAATAATAATAATAATAATAATAAAGTTGAAAGGGACCTTGGAGGTCATCGAGTCCAACCCCCTGCTCAGGTAGGAAACCCTACACCATTTCAGACAAATGGCTGTCCAGTCTCTTCTTAAAAACTTCCAGTGTTGGAGCATTCACCGCTTCTGGAGGCAGGTGGTTCCACTGGTTAATTGTTTAACTGTCACGAAGTTTCTCCTTAGTTCTATCTAGGTTGTCTCTGGGTGTGCCTGTGAATGAAATGAAAAAGCTTAAGGAGATTTTTTTTGTTTGTTTTGCAGATCACTTTGGGGGATGTTGTAGTTGGCAGGACGGGAGAGTGTTTGTGTGTCAGATGCAGCTTGGCATTCTCCGTCTGCCAATGTTGTTTCCACAAAACAATGATACTGGAATCCTATTTTGTGGTCTAATTGTCACTTGAGGACCTTTTTTAGTTGACAGATAGATTATTAATAAGTTTGTCACATTCTCGATGGAGAATCTACTGCTGAACTACCATTTCCAGTAGTGTCAACCAGTATGTCTTGTGCTGAGGGAGTGTTGGGAATTGCAGTTCACAAATAACCGGCAGATCAGACTTACTCCATTCGTGAAAATGAGAAAGAATGAGAAACGTAAAGTTAGCCGCAAGGTAAATTCAACTATGGTGACGCTATTCACAATCCAAAAATGATGTTGAACTCTAGAAAAAAGTGCAGAGAAGACCAACAAATTTGATAAGGGGAACTGGAGGCTAAAACATATGAAGAACGGTGGCAGGAATTGGGTATGTCTAGTCTAGTGAAAAGAAGGACGAGGGGGGACAGGATAGCAGTGTTCCAATATTTGAGGGGCTGCCACAAAGAAGAGGGAGTCAACTTATTTCCCAAAACACCAGAAGGCAAGACAAGAAGCCATGGATGGAAACTAATCAAGGAGAGAAGCAACCTGGAATTAAGGAGAAACTTCCTAACAGTGAGAGAACAATCTTGCCTCCAGAAGTTGTGGGTGCTCCAGCACTGGAGGTTTTAAAGAACACATTAGACAACCATTTATCTGAAATGGTATAGGGTCTCCTGCTTGAGCAGGAATTAGACTAGAAGACCTCTCAGGTCCCTTCCAACTCTGTTATTCTGTTCTGTTCTACCCAGGAACATTTTCACATCAATATTAAGGAGTGCATTTTTTTTTTATTCCTGAATGTTTTTTCTTAAAAAAAAACACTATCCTTTCCAACCAACAGTCTTTGGAAGTTCTGGAGATCTTTAATGTATTTTGGCAGGACAAATGGGGAACCCAAACAAACCCCTCAGTTGCAGAAGGAGAAAAACCATATCTGATTAACAACAAGTCTCTATCAGCCACCCACAGACAAGAAAAGTAGATTTCCAGATTAACCAGAAATATTGAAAAAGGAAAAGCGATAGATTACAAAATGAAAGACAAGAACTTACCTAGTTTTGTTTCTACCTGGAAATTGTTTCTGGACTTTTTTTTCCCTTTGTTTTTCTCCACACTTTACAAGGCCTTGGTAAGGCCACCCTTGGAATACGGCATCCAGTTTTGGTCACCACGATGTAAAAAAGATGTTGAGACTCTAGAAAGAGTCCAGAGAAGAGCAACAAAGATGATTAGGGGACCGGAGGCTAAAACATATAAGGAACGGTTGCTGGAATTGCATTATGTTTAGTTTAGCGAAGAGAAGGACGAGGGGGGACATGATAGCAGTATTCCAATGTCTCAGGGGCTGCCACAAAGAAGAGGGAGTCAAGCTATTTTCCAAGGCACCTGAAGGCAGGACAAGAAGCAACGGATGGAAACTGATCAAGGAGAGAAGCAACCTAGAACTAAGGAGAAACTTCCTGACAGGGAGAACAATTAACCAGTGGAACAACCTGCCTCCAGAAGCGGTGAATGCTCCAACACTGGAAGTTTTTAAGAAGAGACTGGACAGCCCTTTGTCTGAAATGGTATAGGGTTTCCTGCCTGACCAGGGGGTTGGCCTAGATGACCTCCAAGGTCCCTTCCAACTTTATTATTATTATTATTATTATTTCCCTCTTTAACTTTTCAAATTTTCCTTTCTAGTTTGTATTTTGACTTATAACGAAGTTTAATTTATTTATTTTTTTATTAAAAAAAATGAAATCACGAAGGAGGGAATCAAGGGAAGGTAGATTCTTAACTTCATTAAGAAGTCAGGAGACCTGCAAAGCTTGTGATAGGAGTCTGTCACAAGGCATGTTTTTCCATTTTTGTTCGCAGCGATAACTTTGGGTGAAAGAGCAAGGGCTGAAAGTAAAACCTGGATGACAAGACTGCATGTTACGGAGCAGATAAAATGTGGTTCCCTCAAGCAGCGGCTTCAAAGAATTGTTTGAAGTCTTGAGAGAAATGTGGCTGACTTTGATGGAAAGTGAGAGTTGTTTTTTTTTACTCACATGTTGGGTTTCACTTGAAGATCGTTTTTTTCATTTTACCCTCTTTGACTAAATATTTTTTTTTGGTTCAATAAAGACAACCAGCAAAGAAATCATTATAAATGGGGGAAGAACCTGTAACATTTACATTTAAAAAAAACAACAAAAACAGGTCTACGGCCTTTCAGAAATATGGGCTTTTTCTACCCTTTTGAATTTCTAGCTGGATACATTTCAGCTTGAAAAAGGCCACCTGAATCCTTCAGGAGAGTTTCTGCAGCAGAGAATTTATTAGGGACTGGAAACCCTTTCTGGACTTTTTGCTGAAAAAAGAAAAAAAAAGTAAATGTGATTTATGGGTTTGATGATTAGAATAAAATGTCACACTCATAAGGTCAAGAAAGAAAGAAAGAAAGAAAGAAAGAAAGAAAGAAAGAAAGAAAGAAAGAAAGAAAGAAAGAAAAAGGAAGGAAGGAAGGACGGAAGGAAGGAAAGAAGGAAGGAAGGAAGGAAGGAAGAAAGAAAGAAAGAGAAAGAAAGAAAGAAAGAAAGAAAGAAAGAAAGAAAGACCAAGCAGAAGGCCTATGAAGATATTTAGGGTGTTTTTCTTATATTTGTATGGGCAATAGGAATGAAAAATGCAATTTTATACAAAGTTCCCTGTATATCCCCATTTGCAATCTTCCTGAGCTTTCCTTTTCTTATGCAAAAATTTGAGGGTCATAAGACAAATACAAGATTTTGTATTTTGTAGAAAAATGAGGAATAGAATAGAATAGAATAGAATAGAATAGAATAGAATAGAATAGAATAGAATAGAAAATAGGGAATAGAATAGTTGTTTTCTAAATAATAATAATAGAAATAGAAATAGAAATAGAAATAGAAATAGAAATAGAAATAGAAATAGAAATAGAAATAGAAAGACTGTGGCAAAAGCAAGCAAGGGTAGCACCAATAGTAATAGGTGCCCTGGGTACAATCCCAAAACAACTGGAGCACCACTTGAACACCATCATCGGCATTGATAAATTCGCTATTAGTCAATTGCAAAAGGAGGCCTTACTGGGAACTGCTTCCATCCTGTGACGAGATCTGTAATACCATCAAACATCCACATCTGCCTATCCCAGGTCTTTGGTAAGGACTCGATAGATAGACAAAAATGCCAAATCCAGTCTGAACATCTGGCTGACTGTGCGATGATCCATAATAATAATAATAATAATAATAATAATAATAATAATAATAATAATAATAATAACAACAACAACAACAACAACAATAATAATAATAATAATAATAATTATAATGATGATGTTGGAAGGGACCTTGGAGGTCATCTAGTCCAACGCTCAGGCAGGAAACCCTATACCATTTCAGACAAAGGGCTGTCCGGTCTCTTCTTAAAAACTTCCAGTGTTGAAGCATTCACCACTTCTGGAGGCAGGTTGTTCCACTGGTTAATTGTTCTCACTGTCAGGAAGTTTCTCCTTAGTTCCAGGTTGCTTCTCTCCTTGATCAGTTTCCATCCCTTGCTTCTCTTCCTGCCCTCAGGTGCTTTGGAGAATAGCTTGACTCCCTTTTCTTTGGGGCAGCCCCGGAGATATTGGAACGCTGCTATCATGTCACCCAATAGTCCTTTTTTTCATTAAATTAGACATGCCCAATTCCAGCAACCGTTCCTCATATGTTTTAGCCTCCAGTCTCCTAATCATCTTTGTTGCTCTTCTCTGTACTCTTTCTAGAGTCTCAGTTTTATGGAAGACAATTTTCCCATGGACTGAGGGGGGGGGGAACATGCAACCTAAATCCCATGCATGCACAGTTTTGCTCACCCAGTGCTCACCTCCAGTTCTGCAGCCTGGTTCCTAACAGACTGTGGACCGGTCCACAACCTGGGGGTTAGCACCCCTGTCCTAAGGGAAGGTAAGAAGGAGCTTCTGCTTCCTTGGGCCTTTTCCATCCTGGAAGGCGGCTAGGGCAGGGGTAGGCAACCTTGGCTCTTTTATGACTCGTGGACTTCAACTCCCAGAATTCCTGAGCCAGCCATGCTGAGGGGAAAGGGAGAGGTTTCCATGCTTAGCCATCCTGGCTCAGGAATTCTGGGAGTTGAAGTCCACCAGTCATAAAAGAGCCAAGGTTGTCTACCCCTGGTCTAGGAGAATGCAACAGATCCCATCCAACTGGGCTTGCGGCTGGGATGATCAAACAGCACCGTGTTTACAGTTTCTCTTCCTTTGCAGATCAATGCCCTGATCCTGATACAGCTAAATTTGCAGAGTATTACATGGATCAGTATGTTGTGGGTACTTCGGCTCGTTACGTATGTGATGAAGGCTACAAGAGACAAGCAGGAAAAAGTAACATCATTAACTGCATGAACGTGTCTGGAATCGCTCGGTGGAAGTCCACTCACCAACCAGTTTGCCTAGGTAAGAGGTGGATTGCTGGGAAGCCTTTTGGAAGCCTGATGAATACAGGTAGTCCTCGCCTTACGACCACAACGGACCCTAAGATTTTCCATAGCTAAGCAAGGTGGTTGTTAAGTGACTTTTGCCCCATTTTTGACTTGCCAAAGTTGGAATAGAATACCAGAGTTGGAAGGGATCTTGGAGGTCTTCTAGTCCAACCTCCATTGATACCATTGACCTGATACCATTTCAGACAAATGGCTGTGCAGTCTCTTCTTGAAAACTTCCAGTGTTGAAGCTTGACTATGTATCTATTTATCTATCTTGGCTATCTATCTATCTATCTGTCTGTCTGTCTGTCTGTCTGTCTGTCTGTCTGTCTGTCTGTCTGTCTGTCTGTCTGTCTCTCTCTCTCTCTCTCTCTCTCTCTGTATCTGTCTGTCTATCATTATCTATCTATCTATCTATCTATTATCTATCTATCTATCATCTATCTATCATCTATCTATATCTATTATCCATCTATCTATCTATCATTTATCTATCATCTATCTATCTATCTATCTATCTATCTATCTATCTATCTATCTATCTATCTATCTATCTATCTTTATCATCTATCATCTATCATCTATCATCTATCTCATCTGTCTATCTATCTATCTATATCATCTACCTGTTTATCTATCTATCTATCTATCTATCTATCTATCTATCTATCTATCTATCTATCTATCTATCTATCTATCTATCTACCTACCTACCTACCTACCTACCTACCTACTTATCTACCTATTTATCTATCTATCATCTATCATCTATCTATCATCTATCTATCTATTTATCTATCTACGTCTATCTTCAATCAATTTAATCATAATAGAGCTGGAAGGGACCTTGGAGATCTTCTAGTCTAACCCTCTGCTCAGGCAGAAAACCCTATAACATTTCAGACTATACCCTACCATCTCTTCTTAAGAACGTCCAGCATTGGAGCATTCACAACATCTGGAGGGAAGTTGTTCCACCGATCAATTGTTCTAACTGTCAGGAAATTTCTCCTTAAGTGAATTACTGCAGTGCTTAAACGAATCATGCGCTATTGGGCTCTTATTGACCAAGCATTATTTCTCCCCTTGCATGCACCAAGTCGTGAAACTGAGAAGGATCTGTGCAAAAAAAAAAAAAGATGCCCATTTTGATTTTTTAAAAAATATCTGCAAAACTGTAGCTTTTATCTGGCTCCCCTCCTTAAGAATTCTGAAAAGCCTAGGGCAGTTTGGTGAAAGAAAGGCAACACACCAAAATGTGGTTTATGCTAACGTGGACCAACGTAGGTGGTGGAACATTTTTTTCTGCCTGTCCCCAGACCACTGAACGTGCTTCAGTGAGACCCTTGCTCAGTGGTGGGATTCAAATATGGGAACAACCGGTTCTCTGTGGGGATGCCGCTTCCGGAAGTCCAATTCTGGGCCTGGGCAACAAAAAAATTAGCCACCGATTCAGCCGAAGTGGTGCAAACTGGCTGAATCCCACCACTGCCCTCGCTGCTCTTTATCAGACAATCATGAAGCTGATATCATTGCTGTAGGAAGAACGTTGTGGTTAACTTACACTGTCTCCAGGAAGCGTCTGTGTGTCTGCTGTTGCAGGGAGTTATGGCAACTTCAGCTGCGCCGTTTCCCACCACAGTTACTTGTCTACTGACTCCATTCCAGGGTGTCTTGCTTTTTTCTATACCTTTGTCCCCGTCCCTTTGATCGGATGCACAAACAGATGTTGTAGGAAAACCCAGACTTGTTAAAGACTTGGGCCACGCAGTTTGATCTTGAGCATCCCACTTTGTGTGTAAAAATGTTGACGAAACCTCTTTGTGGGCCAGGAAGATGGAACAGGCAAGGGAGCAAAGATTCTGACCGCCCGAAGGATAGCTAGCCCCGTCGTAGAGACAGAGACACCCTCAGGGAGTCAAAAAAGTCAAGATGGCCGTCCCAACCATGTGACCGGAGCCCCAAACGTGTCGCAATGTGTGTAAATAAGAGGGTGGGGCTTTGACCATGTGGTTAGGACGTGAAGGGCACATGACATGGATTTCGCAACGTTGTCAACATTAGTAGCATAGTTACTTTGTACTTTAATTTGACTTGTTTTTCTCTCTTTTGAAATGGGGACAAGGGTTTATCAAACCATTACAGACTGGAATGTAGGAAGACTTTTTATCTTATTGATGTAGGAATGGATGGATAGCTTGTCTGGACAAGGTCTCCTGCTAAGAGAGAGTACAGAGAAGAGCAACAAAGATGATTAGGGGACTGGAGGCTAAAACATATAAGGAACGGTTGTTGGAATTGGGTATGTCTAGTTTAATGAAGAGAAGGACGAGGGGGGACATGATAGCAGTCTTCCAATATCTCAGGGGCTGCCCCAAAGAAGAGGGAGTCAAGCTATTCTCCAA